GATCCTAAAAATTCACATCAATTATGTACGAACATATAAGTGTTATATCTATGAATTAATTAAGTTTTGACGGTGATATATTATACTACGAGAAACAATCCTATATGGATTAGTACTACGATAAACACCATACAACATATTTTTCGCCGGGAAACAATCGCCATTGCTTTCTTTCCATAGAACCAAGCATCCATTGATCACATTTTCCGAAAATAATAGCCGTCCGTACTTCTTGTTTCTCTAGTTTGTCTTCCCCTCGAGCATTCGGCTTGGTTCTCGCTTTCAACCTTGTAATCAAGACGTCTCTTGAAAATGGTAATTCAAGTTATAAAATCTCGACTTTGATTTGGTGGTATGAACGTACATATTAGGTTGATGCACCCGTGAATGGTATACATTATTCTATTGTCGTGCATTAACTATATGCTTCCAAGTTCCATGACCACAAGTCACTACACAACAATAAAGAGTCACAAGCCTCATTTGCTTTTACATGGAAACCACAAATTCATTACAAAATATTGCATCATTTCATTACCCTTTTTCTTTTAATTTAATGATCACATCACCACACCAATCTCAATGGTCTATCTAACTTTCTCACCCTACATATGCACACAAATATATATTTGGTGTTTATATATGTGCATTATTGGAATCACATAGTGACATTTAAATAATAGAGGAGTTATATTACTAAATAAGTATACGGCGATTTTTCCTATAATAATAGTTTTCATGCTTCAATATCAATACTACTATACGAAGCAAAGTTTAGAAGAAATGCCAATTGCCATATATGGGAATGGAGTAGAACATCGTTTTTGGGGGTCGGAAAATTTTTATCTGTGGTCATTGAACTTTCGGAAAAATTTCAAATCGGTTAGTGAAGTACAATGGTAATTTAGAAAGGCCAAAAATGGGGTAAAAGCTTCTTAATTAGGAAATTTCTGAACTTAACAAGAGAGAAATTGACACCACTAGAGACCCTTTGCTGCATTGTTAATTAATCAAGTAGGACAAAAAAATGAAAAAATATAATTTTCCTTTGTTAGAATAATGAATAGTGTTTCATGCCATTTTTCTATGTTGTATCTGAAAAGTACATACAGACACACAAACACATTATCAAACATACAGATACAGCCACAAGATTCATTTTTTTTATGTTGGATCCAAAAAATAGAAAAATAATGGCAACTACATCTTGGAAGTTCAAACAAAGAGGACGATATTTGATACTTTGAACGAGATATAAGTGTACAACAAACATTACAAAGAGAAGAATGTAATAAAAAGAGTCGTCGACACTTATCAACTTTAGTCTTTATCTATTGAAAGGAGCAAAGAGTGAACACGATTATCAGTCTCAAGAGTAGAAACTCACTGCCAAATTTGCCACAGAAACGATACTCCTATACTCAATGTTTTCTCAAAAATATTCCTTTTATAAATGGGAACTGAAAACGATGCGCGGACCAACCAGAACATGACACTTGTCGACTTTCTGTACGAAAACTTATCGTCTTGTACCTTTTGAGCTTTAGTAGTATAAATTATAGCTTCTACTTCCTTATGGTTTCTTGCCACCACATTCTTAAGCTCTCTATATTAGTTTTCACAATAAAATCTCCAAAAAGTTGGAATTTTCCAATGAAGAATCATCATTCCTTGATGCTTTTATGCATTTCTATGCTTGTAATTTGTCAAAATTTAGGCAATGTGGAAGGGAGGTATCATTTCCACAAGAAGCTAAAGGGCAAAACTTCAAATAGAGTTTCCCCTGCCTATGCACCAACTCCTGAGGACCATATTTCCCAACCTCCTGATTATCCTCCACCGGTTCCTTCTGATCCGAGCTACGCTCCAGCCCCATCCGACGTGAGTGACCCAGGAAACTCAACCGGCGACTGCATTTTCGACGTCAGGTCTTTCGGGGCAGTAGGTGATGGTGACAATGACGACACTGCCGCCTTCCGGGCTGCTTGGAAGGAAGCCTGTCAAGTGGAATCAGGTGTCGTTTGGGTTCCATCAGATGGCACTTTCATGATCACTTCAACAATTTTTTCAGGCCCTTGTAAATCGGGACTAGTTTTCCGAGTAAGTTGAACTGAAAATTCGAGACTAACATGAAATTTCGTTAAAAGTTCATTAACAAGTTTGAGTTTTGAATGTGCGAAGGTGGACGGGGTACTAATGCCGCCTAATGGACCGGATTGCTGGCCAAAATCAGATAGCAGTAAGCAATGGCTAGTGTTTTATCGGCTCGATGATATGACTCTCACCGGTACCGGAACAATTGAAGGTAATGGACAAAAGTGGTGGGATCTTCCTTGCAAACCTCACAAGGTAAAAATATCGATTCTACTTGGCATTGACTTCCGACAACCAAAAAATGAAACTAATCGCTTAAAAATTCCAACTTCAGGGCCCTGGTGGATCGACATTGCCGGGACCATGTGAAAGCCCTGCAGTAAGTATAAGTAGTGTCTGTAATTTGAGTCAACTCAAGTAATGATCTTGATGCCTTTCTTCCAGTTGATTCGTTTCTTCATGAGCTCCAATTTAGTGGTCACGGGGTTGCGAATCAGAAACAGTCCTAAGTTTCACATGAAATTCGATGGCTGCAGAGGAGTACTCATCGACAAGTTGTCCATATCTTCGCCTAAACTGAGCCCCAACACGGATGGTATTCACATTGAGAACACAAAATCTGTCGGAATATACAACTCTGTGATCGGAAATGGTACCAAAAAATCTTAAATTTAAAATTTGTTTCAATAATCACAATACTTTGTTTTTGGTGTTTGAAATAGGCTGCATTTTTTATGTTAAAAAAACAGGGGACGATTGCATCTCAATTGGAACTGGTTGTTCAGATGTTGATATAGAAGCCGTTACATGTGGACCAAGTCACGGTATCAGGTATTATACATATAGGGTTCCTATTTTTCATCAATAAAGAGAGGAGAATCATGCTTGGCTGAATTTTTTGACATCTTGTATAATAGAACTGTTTGAAAAATAGTCAATACTGTCATCCAATCATATTCTGGCACAACGTAATTTGTCATTCAAGATGTTAAAAACATGTGACAAAACGGCATTATTCAAGAAAGACCTCACTATATCTCATCCTCACTGTTTTTACACAGCATTGGAAGCTTAGGGGTGCAAAATTCCCGGGCGTGCGTTTCCAACATTACAGTTCGCAATGCAATCATAAAAGACTCGGACAACGGACTCAGAATCAAGACGTGGCAAGGAGGGTCTGGGTCGGTGACCGGCATCTGGTTCGAGAATATTCAGATGGAAAATGTCCGAAACTGCGTAATTGTCGATCAGTACTACTGCTTATCAAAAGCTTGTAGGAACCAAACCTCGGCTGTTTACTTGACGGATGTAACATACAGAAACATAAAGGGAACTTATGATGTTAGAAGTCCTCCAATACATTTCGCTTGTAGTGACAGTGTTGCCTGCACGAACATTACAATGTCGGAAGTCGAGCTGCTACCCTATGAAGGTGTTTTAGTCGACGACCCTTTTTGCTGGAATGCATACGGCATTCAGGAGACATTAACTATACCACCAATTGATTGTTTACAAGAGGGAATGCCCCGGTCACTGGCAGAGAATTCCTTATATGACTGTTAAAAGAACTCCCAAGTATTGGTAATTTTTATAGTACTAGAGCTAGCTAACCAGAATACTGTATAGATTTCTACACCTCTAGATTCATTACTTTCTGGGTCTGCTTAGATTCATCCCATCCCTCTGGGATTATTTCCCTTATCGTGTGATGGAAATGTACAATGTTATATGGGTACATTCTTCTACCCTGCTATGTAACAGAGTCGACTTATAAGCCAGAAATGAGTGTGAAATAACAGTTCTCATCTCATCTCATCTCATCTGCCTCTCTCATTGTAATCCCTATTTTCATTAAAATAATTTCATGCTGCGTCTAGAATTTTCAGGCAACCTTGAATGTAACAAAAAGCTAAAACTTTGATATACATTTCCCTCCGTGGATCAGGCTATTAAAGGAAACAAGAACTACAAACTTACACTGTATTTGATCGGAAAATAGAATCAGCCAACACAGATCGTAACCCCACGAAAACCGAAATACACCTCATCTATGATGTATGTTACTCACGGTCTGCAAGACATACCTACAGCCACGATCAAGTATGACTGATATCCTTAAATTCATAACAAAAAATTGTAACACTCCAACATAAAAAAAAAAAAAAAAAAAA